AATTATTTGAAAATCTTAATTAATCATCTGGTCCTTTAGCTGTGAGGATAAACCATGCATTTAGTGATGACTTAGTTATGTCATCTTTCTCTGCTGCTCCAGTGTTTTGTGCTCTTCGATGTCCCTTGCTTCGAACTCAGAAATTTCTGTTTGTTACGTAAGTCTAATTTTCAGAATAAAATAATTGTTTTTTCTTCCTAGTTTATGACTAATAATCATAATCTTATCTTATATTCGTTGACACATCATGTATAGCTTTGATTTTTAGTTTAAATTGGCTTGATTGCTGCTCTGCATTTTGCTTTGAAACTTTACATTCTATTTTTTGATAAGTGATCAGAACCTTAATGCTTAATCATTGTTTGCATGAGCTATTTTTGTGCATTTAATATTTATTTTCCTGGAAAATATACAGATTCGTAAGTTAAGCATGCTTTCTTTATATTCTTTGCTAATTTCTTGATATATTAGAACATCAAACATGCATGCAGGGTCCTAATAAAAGCTTTTTAATCTATTATCGGGATACATGTACATTTTTCTCCAAATCTTTCAGTCAGATTTCAAAATCTAGCAGAATCTTCACCTAACTGGTTTGGCAGGATTCTACATTTTACTCTATTATACTGGCAAGATGCTTAGATTTCTTCCAGCTTCTCTGAAGTCATTGAGCCTGTAGGCATGAAGGAGAAGTTATCAAGTTTTATCGAAGCTTTTCATATTTGTATTCTGATGGTTAATGTAGCATAGATGAGAGTAGGTGCTGCAATGGATTTTCTCAAAAAATGAAAATTAAAGGTTCGGTTAAATTTTTCATAAATTAAATTTTGCTTTATTTTCATGTTAGAAATATGGGACAGATTTGAACTGGAAATAATTATCTTATAGTTGTGATATGAATGTCTTGGATTGCTTTGTCTCCAACTGCGGAAATAAACAGTTTATTTATCTGAAGAAAATTGAAAGCAGTGCATTTTTCTATTAGAAAAAAAAGGAATAAGGCATTGCATATGTGTATATGAATACAGAATCACATGCATAGTATTTCCATATCTTATTTTATAGAAGTTCTTTGACTAAGATTATTAAGATTATTATTTTTTTAGATAGCATGTAGGTGTAAGAAAAACTTTTATGCTTCAAATCAAATCCTCCTGAAGAATACATAGGATTCGTTCACTACCAAGCATAGTGAAGACGAACAATACATCTCAGGGAAGGACTAAAAAATGTTAATATGCTTCTACGATTTTAATGGAATGAAGTTTGCATTGTATTGTAAAACTGCTTCTTTCCCTTGACATGTTATTTCATTTTATTACAATGATGAGATGGCATTGTATTGTAAAACTGCTTCTTTTCACATATTATTTCCCTTAAATCCAGAAAACTGCTTTTCTCTGACGGTTTGACAGTCATTTTGTCATCAGTATTATTTTAATGCCCGCATATTGTCATAAAAGAAAAGTGTAAATTTTGTTGCTTCGCACATCTTCTTCCAACGTTTAAATTTTAGATAGTCTGTGTTAAATCCTGAAAGCAAATGTCAAACACAAGTTACGGATTTAACTGGATTTAAGGGAAATAATACTAGGCACAAAATTTGGATTTAACTTAACCGGATTTACTAAATCCGGATTTAGTAAATTCTACTTAAGTTAAATCCAACAAACACCCAAACACCCCCAAAATAGTAGTTTGAAGACGATGTTTGGTAGCATATTATTAACAGGATTTAGCAATGAATTTAATTTTAATCCAGACAAAAACTAAAAATTTGAAGACTAAATTCAAAGCTCGGTTAAATCAAATTTTCTCGCATTCCGTATCTTTTACGAAATCTGGATTTACTAAATCCGGTTGCGTGGTGGATTTATTCCGTTGTCGCTTGCAAGCTCCACCGTCACCGTCGCACACTGGATTTGATAAATCCTAATTTATTGGATTTGATAAATCCTATTTAACGTAAATCTAAATTACAACCAAATACTGCTTTAATTGTTTCCTATTTGGATTTGAGATGTTCTGATTTTCTTTTTTTCTTCCTTTTTCTGGAAGAAGTAATGCAGGCAATGCTGCTCGGTTCTAAGGAGTACATTGTTTGGTTAACTCACGAGGAACTCAATGAACGGAAACGAAGGAAACCTAAAGCTAGTAGCCATCCAGTTATCCGGTGGAATACAGCCAACCTAGTTTTAGCTTATCCGAGTCCTAAATTGCAATTTCTGTTTTGTAAATGGCTTATTTTGCTATATAGATATTAAGGCATGTAAATCTCTGACCTTCAAGTTCTGTAACTGGCTATTGTTGCCTTTCACTAGGGTGAACTATTGTTGTCTATGCTTTCATTTTGCAGGACCTTTAGGTGCTAACTTCTAAAATAGATGGATATGCTTAGGTCCTTCTTGTAAATTTTTCTTTTTTTAAAAATTACTGTTTCAAAGTTCTATTAAATGGTCATGCTAAATGATTGAAGCATTAATGAGAGATGCTTATAAGCTCTTTATTAGGCCTTTTTCCAATGACTTTATATTTACATATTTAACAACTTTTGCTTTTTACTTTTATACCACCGTGATCTTTCTTATCACATCAAAAGTACCACTTCATAATTTTTAAAAGGTGAAATACATTTTTTTATGCATAAGTAAGGTGGCATATATGTATAAGTTGAAGTTTAGGTGTTGGATATGTAAATTCATAAGAATTTAGTGGTATGTATGTAAATCTTTCTTTCTTTTTTTATTTTTTGGCTTGCCATTGCCTATTCTGTAGGTACTCTTTCTCGCTATTCCATAACAAGAACCAAATCCAGTTGGAATTAAGAAGGAACTTCACTGCTTTCTTTCGTCGAATTGCAAACTTTGGCATTTGCCATATGGTAAGCTTCATCAATTCACTTAATTTTGTATCAGTTCTCTTTCTTCTGCAAGTTTCAGAATCATTCTATGCATGTAACTTTTTCTTCTGATTTTTTTTTTCAATGTTCAGACTAAATTTCTGAATGAAGAAGAACATTTCTGAACCCTCCTAGAAGATGTGAAGATTATTCTCATGCTTATTCCTACAATATCATAGACAACAATAAGCCTTTATCCCACTAAATGGGGCTGGCTACTTGAATCTTTTTTCTCATTATATCTTATTGAGTGTCATATTTTCATTTAATTCTAATAAATTAAGTTCATCTTTTATGCAACATTCTAGGTCTTTTAAGGCCTATCTTTAGCATCAGTCGATCTAAAACCTTTACTCTCTTAATCGGATCATCAAATGGTCGTCGCTTAATGTGAAAAACCCATCTAAGATGACTCTCTCTAATATTGTTCGCCACTAGAGCTACATCAACCCTTTCGTGATTATATTCATTTCACATTTTGCTTTTTAAGTGTAAAGCACTCATCCACTTGAGCATTCTCATCTGAGCAACACTTGGTAGGTTTCATGCTTCTTTATTATAGGCCAATATATGGTTCTTTTATGCATCAATTTTTATGTCATGTTTTTCATAATTTTCACAATCACTTAAATTCTGGGGGAGGTCATAAACCTATAGTAATTGCTTATATCTGTTGTTTAGGCGTGCCAAATTGGATTTTGTAGATTTGGATTGCGTCTAACCTGAAATTGACCCAACCCAAATTTATTTTGACTCGAACCCAACCTGAATATTAAATGTCAAAAGGTTTAGCCAAAACTTGACTCATCTTCAACCTGATTGATCCAAAACTGACTCGCATAACATTTAATTATACACAATAGCCAGTCGAGTTAATTTTGGTCAGGCGGGGCAAATTTCTGTGGGCGGGTCAACCCAAGCTAACACAAAAATCATATCGCTTGGCCGACTCAAACGGACTCGAAAATTAATATGGTCAAAACGAATCCATTTTTCTGAAGTTGGGTTCAAGCTGAGCTGATATATTGGGTCAATTTTGGACAGTTCTGACTTATGACTAGTTAATTTCGCTTTTCCTTTATTGGCAATCTAATATATTATTATTTGGGTTCTTTCAATTCGTTAGCTGTAAGCCTATAACAGCTTGTTCTTGTGCACGCGAGTGAATCAAGCAGACTTGTTGGGAGATCTCAAGCAATATTTACACCATTTTACAGGTAACTTTGATAATTCTGACTGGACATTGTCAGCCACTAAAGCTATGCAGCTGAAGGTGTTTGAATAAATTCATTTTACGGGTAAGCTTTTTTTGCTCTTTTCCCCCCCTTTTTTTGGTTAATTACACACAGCACTTGAAACATTGTTGTTTGCAAAAATAGCACCTGGATGAATTTTTATACTGAACCGATGCATTTACCCATGCCACGATGGAGCCATGGGGGATTTGATAAAAATTAAAAAAAAATTATGGGTTGTGATTTTATGCTGAATTTTGATATTTGAGTGAATTTGAACATTTGATGAAAATTTGTGGTACTTTTGTAAATAGTAATGTTTTGATCAGTTAAAAAGCTTAAGTTCAAGCTACCTCCAACTCAACTCGTTAGTTCATGAGCTTGTTTGTTTAAATTAATTGTGTTAGTGAGGTTCAAGAAATATTGCTGTACAATTAATTTTTTGGGTCGAGTTTAGATTGACATGATAACCTGAATTTGACTCGTTAACTCGAATTGACTTGAATATGAAATGGGTTACGAGAGTCAAGTTCGGGTTGAGTTAAAGGTGAGTCTTATTGGGATTGATTTTTTTACCCATTCAATGTTTTGAATATTTCATTAAATGAAAAATATAAGAAAATTAAACCTGAGGAAATTAAATATAAAATTAAAAAAGCCTGCACACACGCACACAAATAGTGTTAAAGATTTCGTTAATTTGAATTAAAAGTAAAAAAAAAAAAAAACTAATAAAAAGATGAGTAGGAAATAATTTTAATTAATAAAATTTTAAGATTTGCACATACTACTCAATTTCTTCAATTTTAAGCTACTTGTGTAAAGTTCTACCTTGTTATGTGTGTATGCGTAAATAAAAAAATATAAAAAATATTTACATTTTTTTTATTTAAATAAAGCGTATTTGATATATCACAATTTGTTTGATTTAAAAAAAAAACACTGAAACCAAGTTTTAGATATGTCAAATATATTTTTTTAATTAACTTATTTTTTAAAATAAATATAAAAGGAGAATTTACATGCATGCCACATTCCCTATGCAGTCAAAGGTGTTTTTCACCTTTTTTTTTTTTTTTTTTTTTTTAATTTTTACTCAAAAATGGTGATTTTTTTTATATGATATGAAAGAATGGGTTGTATAAATATAAAAATTAAATTATAGTTGCTAGACATGTAAACATATAAGAATCAGCTGGTATGTATGTACATGCTGTAAAATAAATACACAAAAATATATTGAACAAATATGTTTTTGAAATAAATAACTTAAATGCTTGGCTAGTCACTACTATACTCCATCCAAGTACAAATTTGGCCGCACATGTTTGGTACACCCGAGCCTCTTTGAAGCCGATTTAGAGTTTGTGTGAAACAAATTTCAAACTGTTCCCTCGATTCTATTTGGAAAATTATTTTCTAGCTCGTTTCAAGAAATTTCTGTACCTGATTTATTAAAATGCAGTGGCTGTCAGAAAAATACGATCTAATTTTTTGAAATTAAGATAAATTTATAATAGCTATCGTGATTTTTTGAACAATAATTTCGCTTCATAACTACTGCTTCAAACTATTCCAACAAAAATCCTTAAGATGTTTCATATTCTGTGGTCTGGCTGAACATAGAATAGACAACATGCTTTGAGCATTCTCTCTTGGGGATTATTTGGCTCCTTTAATAATAAATAAATATATATACTAAGAAAAATTTAACTATTTATATATTTTTCAATTAGCACGTTATAATTTGCATTTAAATTAGTTTTAAATAATATAAAAGTCTTTATAATATGTGGCAATTACATACATACCAACCAATTACTATGAAATCATATATCAAATACCTAAATTATAATCTTTATATTTATACCACTCAAATTTTCATATCAAGTAAAAATTTTCTTAGTGGTAACTTATCATTGTTATAATGTATGCTATGTATGAAAATTCATAGGAATCAAGTGGTAAAAATGTAAAAAAAAAAAACATGCTAATGTACACAGAAAAAACTAACTAGATTAGCAAATTAAAACATTCAAAGCCATGCCAACCTGCATGACACACAAACCCAACAGTTCATCACAGTTCCACATTAACCCGAAACCCACCCATATATCAAATAACCTGCCACCAAGTTCTTAATAAACCACCACCTGCTACTCAAAACAACTAACACATCAGTTACCTTCTCCTTCCGAACCCTTCATATACAAAGCTTCAGTTCCATCCCCGTTCTGCCCGCCCCCTCCGTTGCCGCTTCGTCCTTCGCCTCCTCCCATTCCCTGCTTCAGTCCTCCGCCGCCGCGTCCGAAGTCGGCAAAAACTCCCGAACCGAGTGTCCCGTCGCCGTGAAACACGTTGAAGCCGGCGTTCGTGCCGGAGCTCATGCTCAGCTGGCTGTGGAGCGCGAGCTGCTGCTGTTGCTGCAGTGCGGACATCGGCGACTGATGGTAGAGCATCGATGATCGAGCGGCTAGGAGCGACTGAGGAGTCATCGGCGGAGCCGCTTGATGTTGCATGTATCGTGCGCCGGATTGCATGACCGTGTTCGATGGATACTGATTGAAAGTAAGTGATGAATTTCATGTTAGGGAAGGGGAAGATTTGCATATGTACCATCTAATTCTCTCATGTATTTACACATCTACCACCTAGACTTTATTTTTTTAACTTTCATGTCACATCAAAAATACTACTATTTAAATTTTAAAAAAGTGATTTATACATTTTCGTGCAAAGTTAAGGTGGCATGGCATGCATGTGAATATTGAATTTTGCGTGTTAGATACGTAAATAGATACGAATCGAGTGGTTTTTATGTAAATCTTGCTTCGTGTTGTGCATTTACATACATACTACCGAATTCTTACCTATTTACATATCTAACAACTAGATTTTATATTTTAGATTTATGCCACCCAAATCTTTTCATATCACATCATAAATAACAACATTTAAAATTTCAAAATATGGAATATACCTTTAGGTGGCATGCATGTAAAAATTGATATTTGGGTGTTAGATATGCATATAGATAGAAACTGAGTGGTATGTATGTAGATCTTCCTGCATGTTAGAGCATTTACATACATAACACCCAATTCTTATGTATTTATACATGTGACACCTAAACTTTATATTTTTACATTCATACCATCCTAATCTTTCATATCACATCAAAAACATCACCATTTTTACCGTGAATTACATATTTTCATGCATTGTTAAGATGGCAAGTGAGTAAAAATTTGAATTTGGGTGTTAGATAAATAACTAGAATTAATAAATTAAAAATGTTTGATTTATATATATATATATATATACAAATTAACCCGGATCCCGCTTAACATTTGGGTCTAGAATCCCGACTGGTTTAATTTTTGGGTTGGGTTCAAGTTAGACCGGTATATATATAAATATTTTTTTGCAATTTCACTTAAATTAGGGGGAAATAAGAAAATAGAATTGATATAAATGGCAAGGAGTGAATCTCACCTGGGACATGGTGGTCATTTGTGGCTGGCTATCAGCAATGGCAGCGAGGTACATAAGATTCCGCTGAAGTTTAGCCTGATTTCTGCAACAGGATTAACAAATAAAGCAAATACTAGCGTGCATCAATGTCTAAGAGTTAGATATTATGTGCAGGAAAAAAAAAAAATCAAATTTTCAAATTTACATATACATATATTATTATGAAATGCATCATTTTGGTAAATACATGGAACGTAAAAATATGAAAGCAGTTTTATGCCAGCAATTTGCAGAAATGTTTTTATTTATTTGCAGCTAATACTATTTTATAAATGTATAATTGTTATACATATATCATAAAAGATTATATGATCAAGCAATAAATATTCTAAATTCAATTTCATAATCACCTAGGCCCCCCTTTCAGTAAGTTTTTTAGTCAAATTGGTTCAATTTGAGTACAATCAAACTTAGATCAAACCGTTGAAGCACAACTGGAGGGTTTGTATCGTCAATTGAATGTCAAATGAACTTTAAATTTAAAATATTTATAGTCAAATCAAGCGTCTTGATGAGAGAAACCCAACAAGTCTAAGATTGCTCAATGACAAGGTCATTAAGACACCTAAATCCTTAAAAGATGGTCCTTGATAAAGGGAGATGAGTATGAACAATCAAATCAGATGGAGTTATTCGCCAATAGACCAAAATACGCCTAAAAAAATATAAAGCCCCCTCTCTTCGCTTGGAGGGAGGAGAAAAAAGAGAAGTGAAATTTCAAAGTCTTTTCTGGAGAGAAGACTTGACAAATAACAACTGACCCCGGTAGCCAGTAGCCGGCAACCACAATCGACCAACGAACTCACCGACCACTGACTATCGGCAACCACAACTTATAAACCATTATAGCCAAACTACGGCAGTTGTTAAATTTCCTAACACTTAAATTCTTTTATTTATATAAAGACAAGTGTAATTTTCAATGTAAAATTGTAACCCTCTTCTCTATCATGAGAGAAAAGCGTACCCCTGTACTTACAAACATAAAGTTGATTATTTTGACTGGCTCGGCCCCGTGATTTTTTTATCTTTCAACGATTCTCTACGTAAAAATTTTAGTGTCTTCTCCCACTATTCTTCTATTATCTGAGTGCGTGTTGGATCTTCGTACAACGTCAAATTACTACTCTACCGCAGCGAATTTTTTGACATACAACAATAATAATATTAGTTTCATCTAATGCAATAAATAAAAGGAAAATTGACATGCATGCCACTAGATTCTTACGTATGCACATACCTAACATCAAAAATTCATTTTTTTTATACATATGCCACCTCGTCTATGTATGAAAAGGTGCGTATATTTTAAAAATTAAAATAGCTGCATTTTTAATGTGATATGAAAGATTCGAGTGGCATAAATATAAAAATGAAAGTTTGTGTTAAATATGTAAATACACAAGTATGAGGTGACATGTATGTAAATGGCCGTAAAAAACAGCCATATTATGCCGGTTAACAATAAATCGGTCTTGTTCAACACAACAATTTAATTTTATCCAAAAAAAAAAAAGTGAAATTAATTATTTTTTAAATGAAAAATTCTGTTATTGAAATCAAATAAAAATAGAGTGAGAGCTCAAAGTTGACAGAACCACATGATTTGATACTTACTCAGCACATTCATCTGTTTTTCCAGAATTCTGGTTGTCAAGAATTGCCAGAATCAACTGCTTGTTCTCATCCAAATACTGCAAAAATAAAATAAATAAATAAATAAATAAAAATAAATCATTGACATATAAAGCACAAAAAATACAAAATGTAATTTCTAGATTTTCTATCCCACAATATAAAGATCTAATTAACTTCATTTTTAATGCATCTTAATCGCGATTTTCTAGATTTAGTATCTTGGATATTATTTATTTTATATATCCCAATTTCTCTTATCTTGTTTATTTTATCATTAAAAGCTATAACTCACTAAATTATCCTTATTAGAATACAATTTACATATAAACTCTGCTAAAACTTCAACTGCTACCCTCTTAGCAGAAGTCAATTTAACACACATTCAGTTTGGCACATCTAAAAAAAATCTAATTTGCCTCTATCTTTGAAGATTAACATTTTTTCACCTTTCAAATTCAACCATCTTTTCCTAGGATCATAATTTCTTTTAATTATTTTCTTTATATGCTAAATCATTATAACTACTACTGCAATTTGAGCAAATTTTATTCCAAAATCATCTTACAACCATTGTAAGGAGATTTAAATTTCTTATAAATAAGAGTAAATTTATTTTTGATCTTATTACTCCAATTTTCAAGTGGCCGAGTGGTGACAAGATTCCTTCTATTCACCATCGGGTTTGGCCCAAAGTTTGAGGCAGTTTATTTGGACTTGTGCTTCACGCTTAATCAGACTTGTTGAAGAAGAGAGGAGTTCCTTCAATTGTTGTTTGATGCTTATTCAGACCTTATGAAGTAAGTTGATATTTCAACGTGATGATGGCATCAAAGTCGGCTTACTTATTTCTTTGGCGACGAGTATCTCTTCAATTTTTCCATGGTTCTTCAACGAATTGAGAGAATCCTACGACTCTATTGCTTAACTCATCAAGATGAATAAGCTTGGGTAAGGCATCTGTTGTCAATAGATGGACAAAGTGTGGGCTATTTCACTGCGGTCATATTTGGGCTTGTTGAGTGAAACGAGATGTCAGTGACCAGCCATATTTGAGCTTGTTAAGTCCAACCATTTGTACTCACATGAGTCCTAGACTGAGTTGTAAATAAACTTGCACTTCTCTAACTTGAAATATTGAAGCTCAAAAACTCAAAAATTCTCTTGACTTCCCAAATTATGACAAATCTGAGAAATGAACCTCAACCTTTTGAAATTGCTACCTCTAATATGCTTGTAATAGAGATATTTATGAACAGTCTTTTGAATGTAGCTTTGACATTGATATGTTAAATGTTCAATTGGGAAACACGTATTTGACACGATGTAAACCCAAATTATAAAATATATAATATTTTTTGGTATCTCAACCCAAAGCTCAATGCCAATCCAAATAATATAAAAAACCACTTGAATGGCATGATGGAAAACATTTATCACTGGTTAAATATATTTAGGGAACAAAATTTCAAGCATGATGTTCCAGATAAATTAAAAAAAGAGCCTTATCTATAGAGAAATTCTTATAAAAATTTGAAAACGCATTCTTGAATCACAAGAGAGTTTTCAATATTGTAATTAACTCATGTTGGAATAAAGCATATTCTTCTTTCTTGGAGGAAAATTTGAGAATAACTTTAATTGGTTTGCTATGTGTAATAGCTCTTAAATATCGATCACGGATTAGTGATATTGGCCATTGACTATTTAGGTTGATGAGTTGGCAGGCTCCTCCTTATGTGTCTTATTGATGATAGAAAGTCCGCCCAAGTAAGGTTTAAATTTTCTATCAACTCTTTGATAAAAAATAATTAGCCTTCTCAGCACCAAAATCAATCTTCTCACTTGGAATATTTAGAGTTCCTCTTTTTTATTTTAAGAAATAAGTTGTAGCATAACATAAGGAACTATCATGGTTGTATCTTACTTCAATTTGATGTACTTATGAAGCTTTTTCTCTTTCAGCTTGAAATTGATAATCTTCCGAGTTCTCACTCATGGGGGATGAATTTTATGGCTGTTGATGGTGAAGTGTGATGAATGACTGAAGTCATATCCTACTTATGAATTTTATAAATATAAGATCTCTGAGAACATAGATCAGATGTCACACCTATTTTATTTTCAACATGACTTTCTTCTTCATAAGGATTGAGTCTCTAGATTTGTTTATCCTTCCATTTGGACCATTCGAGAATAGATTCTTGGATACATGGTCCAAGTGTCACTCTCTGAAGTTCACCATCAAGAACTTATTCATGTAGGTTTTAAGCTAACATAATAGATAGCAGCTTCCTGATTGGAGCCATATTGGTTTCAATCACAAGTTTTCGTATCTTCTCTTTAATAAGCTCCTTTCTTTGGCAACTTCTAACCATGTGCACTCCAGCGAACAAAATCTCATCTCTTCTTCTTTTTGGAACTAAAGCTTATTGAATGATCGGTTGCTCAAACAACAATTGTTAAGCTCCAAATTTAATATTTTTTTTCTCCATTGCCTTTTTTAGATAACTTTCTTCTTGATGCTTAAGTTTTAAAATTATGCCTTCCTAGTATAATTCTTTGATGTGCTGGTCAAAATGCATAAATATGCAGATATTTTAACAAATTGAGGCCTCTTATGTAGCTTTGAACATATATAATAATGGCTCTAACATCAACAATTGGGAATAAAACATCCATTGAGTAGAATAGTGTTCGTACATTGTGGGATTTCCTATGGGAGAATATTCTTGTTTATAGAGAATAAAATAACTCCTTAAGGTGCCAGCCATCACAATAATTGCTAGTAACAATATTTTCTTTCAAAATTTAATATTGATAAATTTCTTTTCATTGACACTCATGAATTTCTGTCAAAACTTTCAGTAGTAGATACTTAAACTTAAAGCTCAAGTATCCCACCACGATTTTTGCTTCTCTCTATAGGAACTTTTCAACAACAAATACCTAGATTTGGATCCAAATTTTATGCTTCAATGCTCACAAAATAAATGTCATTTTGTTAGGACGTTTCAGTAATAGATCCTTAGACTGAGATAAAAGAGATGTTTTTCCGTTCATTGTACATAATTTATCTTTCTGTAAGGACTTTTTGATATAGATATTTGGATTGAGATTCAAATGTCATATTACGATGATCGCAAGACTGATTTTTATCTGTTTGTTGGTAGTTTTTCATAAAATACTCTTGGATGGAGATTTAAGAATCATACTCTAAAGCTTATCAGAAAGATTCATCTTTTTCATGGGCAACTTTCGGCAAATGTCATACTTTGATGCACACCAAATAGTTTATCTCTGTTAGAACCCTTCGGCGGCATATTCTTAAATTAAGATTTATGAGTCATGATCTGATACTCACCACATAATTTGACTTTTGTTGGGAGCGTTCGATGGCAAACTCTTAGATTGAAATCTAAGAGTCACGCCTCAATGCTCAACAAATAGTTCTCTTTCTATTGAAACATTTCAACAGCATATTCTTCAATTAAAATTGAAGGATCGTGCCTCCAAACTTTCCAGATAGAATTTACTCAATTTTTTTAGTACATACAATAAATAGAAGTATTTTTTTACTATTCTTTTTTAAATTTTTTCTGCTACCATATATAAAATAAAATTAATTTTTTACCAAATAAAATTAATTACAATAAGATAAATCTTTCTTATTTGGGTGCTAGAAATATGTAGGCTCCAAAAATTTACTTCGCAAACTCTTTTAGGTTGATAGAGTTTTATGTTTGGTATTCCGGGTCAATTTTTCATAAGATGGTTTGTAGATAAGACATTACCTAAAAATTTCGCCCTCATTTTGTGATAACCATTTCATTTAGGGTTCTAGGTTTCCCATAGGCACAAACCCTTATTATACTGGAGTTAACCCAAACAACAATAGGAAAATAAAAAGTATTACTAAAAAATCCAAATATGTGATTACAACCACACATACTGAAATAGAAAATAACAGCATACCACAAACTCCACGGGTGGTAGAGGTCGACAAGGTGGTCTGAATGCAGTGGGAGGTGGATGAGATTGGCCCCCACATCAATTGATGAAAAATCCTATGAACCTTCCCACTTAAACCAGACAACTGATTTAAGGGTGGAAAAGAAGCACAGCCCACTTGAATTCCTGTTACAGGACCCACATCGGTTTGTTCCTACCTCTCGCAATAGGGTTAAATCCGAATCAACCTATGGTTAATTGCCCCTCGTGATAACAGTAGAGCACTTTCGATTAAATTTAGTCATTAAGAGTTAAATATTCAACATATAGTAACAACATACTTGAATTTTAAATTATAAAATTTATCACATTGAGCTTAAAGTTGATGGTCGAAGAAATAACGACGAACTTGGTCAAGATCCCTTGGTTCTGTCGTTTGATCTGTCTAGTCAGAGAAGGTAGTTGACCCAAAATGATTGAAAGATCAATGTTAGCAACCATTAGTTGTGTCGTCCAAAAAAAATTGTAGATTTGGAGTGGATGTTTAAATAAGGAGACAAATTTAAGTAGACCTTTGCTAACTAAATTCTTTGTGTCAATCAAAGATACCTTTACGATTCACAATTCTGAGTAAAAAATTGTTGGAAAAAATATGGGCTACAAGCATTATCGTAATTTAGTGGTGTCAACTGGCAACAAACCACCAAGTCATAGGGCTTCAGTTATAACTGATACTTTTAGTAGAGTCATTGGGTCAAACCAAGTTGATAGAGGACTTGTGTCACGTTCTTACTGACATGAGATTGTTTTGAGTGTGAATATAATCATTCACTCGATATAACATTCGCTCTTTGTGTGCCAAAATCAATCAAAAATTTGTCATACCGGACAAACAATTACGAAGTGTGGATGAAGTTTATTTTAAATTTTGATGTGATTGATTTCAATTTGAATATTTTAGTTTGTTATTTTGAAATTTTGATTTAGAATTTGATTTAAAAGTTAAGCCCTCCTATTGAAATATTCGATCAGCAGGGCCATAATCAAAAGAATAGATATTTGAAACACTTGTGTTTGTAATTGATATAAAATTTATCACTTGAATATT